GATCTCCTGATTAGTTAAAAAACACTTCAAAGCATTTGTAGCGAGACTTCGTCCTGTATGCCATGAGTTAAGTTAGTTAATCTATTTATCTTTTTGAACGTTAAGTTGAATTAGCTCTAAAATCACGGAGAAGCAATAAAAAGTAAATAGGTTTCGCAAAATTTTACAAATTATGAGACGGAATGTGCTTTTTTTAACTTATATTAAGATTAAATTTACTTAAAGTTATATATAAAATTATCGTGTAATTTTAAAATGCATTACCATAAATTGAAAAAAATTTAACTATTAGGTGTTGGAATTAATTCGTAGCGTTTTACAAGTGATGGGAAGTACTTTCATTAATGCTCATGTGAAATAAATAACATTCTTTCATTAAAAACGCTACGAATTAATTCCAACACCTAATATTATACGAGTATAATTATTTAATTTATTCACAAACATTTTGTTATATAATTAGATTATTTTATGTTTACATTATTTTAATATCTTGATATTTAACTATGATTAAACACTTCCAAATAAGAAATGGATGTACAAAGTACTTCTAATTTTTTTTTTAATAATGCATCAGATGATGAACATAATTTTCTTGAAAGAAAACGTTATAATAGAATTTCATGTTATTATGAAGATATTGTTTTATTCTTTAACAGGTAAGACTTCGAAGAAAAGAAAAGAAAGAATGAGGAAGGAATAGTTTTACTATATTATTATTTTATTTTTGTATAGATGATTTGTATTAATTTCAGTAAAATAGTATTATTATTTGAACAGATTTTAAATTAAACAGTACAGTTTTCGAGTAGAAAAGCGTACATACAAAAGATTGATACAAGATCTTGGACAACGTTTGTATTGTGATCAAGGTGAAAAAATGTTTCCTGGAAAGCAAATAGTAATTACTTTATAGTTCTTCGATAATCAGGAAGTTTACAGGTTAATATTATTTAAATATGAAATACTTTTATCAAATATGTTTATAGTAATATAAAAAATAAAGTAATATAAGATTTTCTATTTCCTTCAATTTCCTTTTATTTGCTTTTACATTTTTTAAAGCGTTTATATATTTTCAAATCTATCTTGTATAAAAATTATATAGCTTTTGGAAAGAAATAGTTCAATCACTTTTAATTGCCTTTACGTATGTTTATTCAAATTACATTAAGTATGTCTAGTAAAGAAATCAGATTTATATAATAATTGTCTTTAATATGATTGATTTTTTTCCTTTAGTTCTTCCTTGATATAAATCAATTATCATATTAGAAAATTTTATAATAGTCGCAAAATTATCTTTCTACTTTTTCTGCAAATTTTTATTATAAAATTACAATAGCAATATGTGCTAAAATCGTTTAATTTTGTTGATATAGATTTGTTTGTGTACCATCTACATACACTTACACCTACACATCCATAAATTTTTTAGATCAGTTGCGGATCGATTTGGAGTATTCAAAGATATTGTTTGGAATTATATATTTGAGCATTACTACTAACTGAAGATGTTTACAGATATATAAAATGGCCTGAACTTCATGAAATGGCTCTCTTTGAAAGAGAATTTCGCCAATTACATGGTTTTCCTGGAATAATTGCTGCAATTGATGGCTCTCATATACTAATAAGTACACCCATAGAAAGTCCTGAAAATTACATTCATCATCATAAAGAGTTTCATTTAGTAATATTACAAGGAATTTGTGATTATAAATTAAGATTTATAGATGTTTTTACGGGAATATGTGGTAACACGATGCAAGAGTTTGGCATTTAAGCGACATTAGAACATTAATAGTACAAGATGAAAATAGATACTTTCAAAATCAATATCATCTTTTGGTAGATTCAGCATATCCTTTATCAAATTATACGTTAACTCCACATCGAGACAAAACTCTCAAAAACGTGTAGTCATCGAGCGTGCTTTTGGCATGTTAAAAGGAAGATTTAGAAAATTAAAGTATGTTTACATGTATAAAACAGAAATGATACCCTGAGTTATTTTTACTTGTTGCATCTTACATAATATATGCTTAGAAAATGATGATGAATTTATTGATGACGATGCATTTGATGAAGTAGATATACAAAATAATATTGTATTAGGTGTACAACTTTGCTTCCGCCGTTTTTTTCGAGGCTTTATTGTAAAAAACTGGTTATACATTTATGATTCAAAGTATTGTCCATCGCTGGCCACTACTTTCTCCCATCTTTCGGGCAGCGTACGAATCCCGCGTCGAAAAAACTGGTCATCTTTTGAGGCGATCCACGAATCAATCCAATTTTTTACTTCTTCATAAGACCGGAAGTGCTGGTCAGCCAGGCCGTGTGTCATTGATCGAAACAAGTGATAGTCAGAGGGAGCAACGTCTGGAGAATACGGCAGGACTTTCCATTTCAAGAATGTCTTGACCACTTTCGCAACATGGGATCGAGCATCGTCATGCTGCAAAATCACTTTATCGTGTCTCTCGTTGTATTGCGGCCGTTCTTTCAATGCTCGGTTCAAACGCATCAATTGCATTCGATACTGATCGCCTGTGATTGTTTCGGTTTTAAGTCGGTTTTAACAGTTCATAATACACTACGCCGAGCTGGTCTCACCAAATACAGAGCATGACCTTGGAGCCGTGAATATTCGGTTTGGCCGTCGACGTGGAA